AACAGAGATGGTGGTGGTCAAGGACGGCGACGGCGGCTTAAAAAAACAGATTGTGTCGGTGGTGGTGGACAAAAACAGACTGTCGGTGGTGGTGGACAAAAACAGACCGTCGGTGGTGGTGGACAAAAAAAATAATGTGTCGGTGGTGGTGGACAAAAATGACTTTGAACAGACTTTGTGATGGAGAAGGCGGTGGACGAAAACAAAGTAGGCAGTGAGTGGAGAACATATACGGTGGCGAATGGTGGTGGTAGACGGTGGTGGATGAAAGGGAGACGGTGGTTGTGGACGAAAATAGTGGTAGATGGTTTGTGGACAAAATTCGATGGTAATGGACAATAAATACTAATTATACCATCAATCTTAATCAGGGGTATAACAGTTATTTCACATTATGTGCATTGTGAATTGTGGCAGATTTTCGAGGGTAAAAAAAAATTGCATTTTTCGAAGATATTTTGTGACAAATGGCATTTTTGGTAAAAATCCCTATAATATATTTACGAGGAATCTTAATTGTTAGCCGGATATTAGTTATAAATATGAACAACCTACTAAATTTCGAGTAAATTCCCATCAAATTTTAACACACGAAATTTGAAGGGTTAAATTGTAATAGACTTCCGTGCATGTTACTTTCTGTTATTTTTCTAAATTTCTACTTTATCGCTGTTAGTTTATTAATGATACCATATTTTATTGTTATCTACTTAATTCACTCTATATTTTTTGGTCAACGTATACACACCATACTATACACGAACAATATGTGTGAAGAGGACGGGCCTAAGGTTTTGGTACTAATGGGCTATATACAATGCAAAGCCCAATCATAAGTCTCAAATTCTTTAAGAATCTGGCTCTCTTTTTTTGTTTGTTTCGTTTCATACTCCAGAAAACTCACCATTTTTTTGAGAGAGAATAATGTTACAGTTTCCGACGTTGATGACTCAGTTTCCGTCGTCGACGAAGACAATTCCGGCGTCGTATTTGCTTCCGTTACAGTGGCCTCAGCCGCAGAACGAGGAGATTCTTCTCGCCATGGAAGAAGCTGAGTTCGAAGAAAAGGTATTTTTCATTTTCTCTGTATTCTCTCTCTCTTTCGGAATCTAATGATAGCAATTTTCAGTTTTCGAGTGTGGGGATGCACAATTTTCCAATCATAACTCTGTTAGACCATGTAATTCGAGCTGATTTTGAGTGAGAATCCTGATTGATAACTTCTGGGTTTTGAAATCGGGGTCCGTTCGAGGCCTGAAGGATTTGGACTGAATCGGTTTCGTTTCCTGCGATGGCTTATTGAGTGAGATTTACTGATGGGTTTAGAGATTATGATTGGATTCTACTTAATTTTGGTAATGACTGGGGAATGAATGATCCATCTTTGTCTTCGATTTCAAATTTTGTGAAGATCAGAAAGATAAGGTTTTGTTGGTAACTAAGTGAGTTGTCTAGAATTTGGCCTTAGGAAGATCATTTTCTCTACTTCACATTGGTAAGAATTAGGGTTTCTGATTGTTAGTCAATCTTTCTTCTTTGGTGTTATGCTTAGTAAAAAGTTTGTAATTCTAATGGATACCAGTGTTGTGTTGAGATTCTAGTGTAGTGTCTTTTTCAGTGTAGACTCCATGGATATATGCATTTGTTCATTTGATTGTCATATTATAGCTTTAGAGTTCCAAAAATGTAAAGAAGACGAGAAGATACGTGGGTGATGTATGGAAGACCTTTTTAGTGTTTTGAAACTAGTTCGGTTTCCTGAATCACAAACAAAGAAACTCTATCGGACTCTGAAAAGGTCCAACGTTGCAATTGACTCTGACCGAGGACTGAGTGGCTAAACTATTCTAGGAGTGGGGCTCTTCTTTGTATCGAGAAAATCTTTTGTTAACAAGGAAAGAAGAAAATCCGATGTTTCAATTGCAGATTTGGAATCTGACAAGTGAACTTTAGACAAGAAATCTGTTCTCAAACATTATATAGTAGAAGATTATCCTCACCACATGTCTCCTTGTCATGTGATGCTTTCGGTGTTTTCATTACATATATTAGATTGTTTGATTATAAACTTGGGAGCTGAGGGGGGGAGAGAGATCAGTAAATCCATTGCCAAGTTCAATGTTCTTATAATTGTTAAGACAAGTTTTAACTGTTAAAGTACATTCTTGTTGTCTCTGTTTGGTGCAGTGCAACGAGATCAGAAAGATGAGTCCTAGCTTACTGGTAATTGGGAAACCAGTCGTTGACAACCATCAGGAAGAAGATGATAATGAACCAGAGGATGATGATGCGGACAATGCAGAGGAATCAGATGGTGAAGAGTTTGAGCAAGAAACCGGATAAATATCTAAAGGCTGGAAAAACACACAGGGTCATTATTCAAGGATTTAGCTTTGATTTTTGAGGATACTTATTTGAAATCTTCTTGTAGTGCTAAAAAGACTGTGATTCTGAGTTTCTGACTTTGTAAGCCAGTTTTGTGTTTTTCTTACCAACAAGTTGAAACGTTTCACTTTAAACCTTGAGATTATTCGTGGATTGGTTGTAGTACACTATCAGTTTCATGCTGTTTAGTTTTTACCTTGAAAAAGGTCAGAAATGTGGATTGGTTTTGTGTTTGTGCAGACCGGACTAGATTCTCAAGATATAAACCAAATTTGTCCACAGATTGATAAATTTTTGAAAACCTAAATTAGCAGAAAAAACGAATAAATCCGTTTCATTTTTGTCTGACTAAAACAATGACATCCCTTTGTGACTTTGAATTTAAAATGCTGGAAAAGGGCTCAATTTTGTGTACTAATCTGCTGGTTGATTTTTCAACAACAAAACAAATTAAATTGAAATGTTCTAAAAGCTGAAAACAAAAGATGTGTGGTACTACTACTACTCCAAAGTCATTTACATAATCATTATTTGAACAACTTCTAATATGTTTTGTGGTGTTTCAATGGGGACAAGTTGCTCACCAAATTCTTAGTCCTCTCAATCTGTCCCATTCACAAGTTGCGGAAATATTGGAAGTCAAGTAAAATACGCTGAATCTTTATGCACTAACAAATTTTCTTTTTAGTATTTTTTCAATATTTTCTGATTAATTAATTGATTTAGTGGTCCTTTTTTTATTTTCGTAGGTCAAGTCGGTATAAATTTTGGATCGAATAAACAAAGGAACTCCGTGTAAGTAATCTCATGTCCTTCTCTAATCCTGATGAGACACGGAACACACAAAAAAAGCGAATGTTAACAAATTGCAAAAAAATAAAAATTTTACTAATTACAACAAGACAAAAGGAAGAAAAAAAAGAACCTCGTCAAGAAAAATAAACTCCAAAACTACGAAAGGCTTACACGTGTCGACGTAAATCAACCCCACTACCCTATACACGCGTTAATCTCTTTCGTCGACACGAGACGGTCTCTCAGTATTCGCCACGTATCACGTATTTACAAAACAACGTCGTACGTGCAAACACGTCATAACGTCAACTCTAACGGTTAGTAACGGCCAGTAACGTCCGGGATCACTATTCCGTCTTGTTCTCCGTCTAAAAATTAATATCTCCACCAGTCAATACGTAAATTTGTATAAAGAAAATTTTTAATTCTTCTCTTCACAAAAACCAACACATCGTAAAAATAAAGACCCTAAAAAATTAATAAA